ACTATTTAAACATTTACGAATTAATCCATCTAAACAAAATGAAAATAAAAAGTTGTAAAATCGGTTGCAGCTTGTCAAGAAGATAAACAGATATACGTATATTTTCTTACCAATATCATTTAATTGACCGAAAATAAAACGCCATTGAAGCATAATTTTGAATATTCCCAGAGTATAAATAAAGTTTCGTTAAATCAACATGTAGAGTACTAAGAAAACAATAAAACAAAAATGTTTTTATCTAAAAAAATATATATAAACAACATTTGTATGTTTGATAAATAAGAAAAAATAAGTGAATTTCAATTAGTTGAATATTTCAAAGAATTTAAGTGATTACATAGCACCAATCTTCCATATAGAAAATCACCGAAGCACATTCACCTTCCTTTGCAGTCGCATAAAAAAAAGATTCAAGAAAGCTAAATATTCGAATCATCTAATCCAACTACTTGTGATGGTTTCTTTTTTTTTTCTTTTTCGCCACGGCTTCACCCACCAGAAATGATAAACCAAGAATAAGTTGTTCCAGTGTTTTTTTTTCTTCAGTAAATAATCGATGTAACTTTTTGATTTGAGAAGTTTTTTTTAATGCTTGTTTAGCACGTTTGCGTGTCGAAGATGCAAAACCACATGTATCTCCTATCAATTGATGGAGATTTCTTTGAATCATATGATGTTCTTCATTTTTAAGCGTGTGAATGAACTTCCATATGTTCGGATGTATATTTAACATTCTGCTCTTGAATCGACGATTATATGCTGAAAATGAAATACAGATTACCAATAATATTCAGTGTTTAAAAAAAATTCTTCCTTACCTTCCGAGCTGTTATTCGTTCTGATTTCTGAATCAGCCACACACCAAAGATGTGGACCCATATCATACATCCACTGTTGTTTGAAATATTGAATGAAGGGTTGTAATCGTGGATCAATATTTTTACATAAATGTTTGAAACATCGACGAATCTGATCTTGTGGAAGCAAGGCAAGTGCCAGAAACTTTCGTAAATGTAATCGTAAATCTGGTTCATCATCATATAAATCAGATAATCCTAACTTTTTGATGTTTCGATAACATGCTTGGGTGTAGTGAAACCAGCATCCAAGACGAGACACATTCGGCAACTATATGAATAGATAATAAACGTTTGAAGAAAAAAACATCAATGAAATATTTCAATGTTATATTAAAGCAAATAACTACCACGTTTTCAACAGCACGTAACCATGAGTCTTCGTAATCCGATACAATTGTATGAACTGCCAAAACCTTTTGTCGGCTACCTGCTAATTTAATAATAGTACCAATAATTTCTTCATATGTTTTTCGTTTACGATTAGATGTCAAAACATATAATCCTGGTAAAACTAAACAGAAAAAAATCATCCTTAATGACCAAACAAAAATAGCAATCCATTTTATATACCTTGATCTCCAACGAGACATTGAATTATATAGACCTGCGCGAATAATAAAGGTACAGTTTTGAAAGTACC